TTTGGGGGGGGGGGAGAGGATTAGGTTCTGGTTCAGACACTTTTAAGGGAAGGGGAGGGTTAGTTCCCAGCTGTTGGATGATGATCAAACCAAGGGCTGAGATCAAAAGGCGCAAAAACGGGGTCGTTTGGGGTGCTTGAAGGTTTGACCGGGTAGGGTAATTGGATTGGGTGAGATTTGTGGGCAAATTTGGGCCACTAAAATTGCTTTTGGCCCAATTCTAAGTAAAATCAAACAAACTCCTTAATTCCTTTCTTTGTTTCTCTTTTTTTTTCCCTTTGATTTTAAATTCTAAACAAATTAATAAAAATCCTAAATTAAATCCTAACTTAAATCTAATTTATAAAATTAAACCTACTTACCTATTTTCTAATAATTAACTAATTTAATTAACTAATAATGCATGCAATGTTACTAATGTATTTTTGTTGTTATTTTCATGTATTAATTCTATAATTAATAAGTAATTAATTTCTAAAAATGCAATTAAACCTAAAATGATATGGAACGAAGATTTGAAGATTTTATGGTTTTTCTATGACTTTAAGATATTAAATATGCACAAAAATTGCGACTAAATGCAAAGAAACAATTAAAAGAAATTCCTAAAAATTCTATAAAAAATCAAAAACAATTAGAAAATTTATTTTTTGTGAATTTTGTAGGAGTATTTTCGTAAGAAAAAAATTACGTGCTCACAACTGCCCCTATTTGCTCGGAAACATGAAGAGTTTTCGGGCAAAGATAAAGTGAGCAATTACGAGCAATATTTGCCCGTTTGACACTCTATTTGGAAGCATTTTGAAAATGTTTGACCGAACATTGCTTCGGAAGTTGCCTATATATCCTTGACTATAAAGGAATCAGGTCAGTATAGTTCTGGAAGTTTTGATAGCTGGGACTACCGAAAAGCTGTGATTTCACTGATGTTGCTGCTGTTCCTTCTTGCTGAACTCCTTATTACACCGAAATCAAAATGAAAAAGAAACTAAAAAACCCTGTCAGCTATGAGTTACAAGATATTTATCTGTGAGTCTTCTGAAACTTGGTCTTAAGTCTTGGCTGGTTCTTCACGCAGACTCTGATCTGAACCTTGATGCTTGCTAGCTGCAGGTGCTAGTTTATTCTTCTATGACTTCTTCTGATCAAAATAGGACATGCAATGCTCGTGACTTCAATCATGTCTTGAGCAATCTATATACTTTCTTCCGCTTTTGCATTTTGGATTTACTTCTTTCCTTTTCTTTATTTTGGATTGAGATTTCTTATTTTGGTAATCTCGAACCCCGTGCCTTCGGGGTAAAACCTGCTCAAACACCAAAATAGAACAAACAAATAAAATTTTCTGCCTCAGTTTTCACTAGAAAAATTTCGTGAGTTATTTGTAACAAAAACTCTATACTACTTCATTATTGAAAATAACAAAAGGTCGAGATTGGTGTACCATGGAAAACATGATTCTTCGGGAATTATGTACCCTGATTGTCTAAATGGTGCCTCAACTAAGGATTGGTGTACCTTATATTGGAAAATATCAACTAGGGAGCGGCGACCCTATGTTGAAAAAAAACATAGCTAGGGATTGGTGTACCCGATACTGGAAAGGAGACTAGGGAATAGTGACCTTATGTGTAAAATAATATCAACTAGGAAGTGGAGACCTTATGTTGGAAAAGGGACTAGGGAGTGGAGACTCTATGTCTAAAATAACATCAGCTAGGGAGTGGAGGCCCTAAATTGGAAAAGAGACTAGGGAGTAGAGACCCTATGCCTAAAATAATATCAACTAGGGAGTGGAGACCCTATGTTGGAAAAGAGACTAGGTAGTCGAAACCCTATGTCTAAAATAACATCAACTAGGGAGTGGAGATCCTATGTTGGAAAAGAAGACTAGGGAGTGGAGACCCTATGTTGGAAAAGAAGACTAGGGAGTGGAGACCCTATGTCTAAAATAATTATCAACTAAGGAGCGGAGACCCTATGTTGGAAAAGAGACTAGGAAATGGAGACACTATGTCTAAAATAAAATCAACTAGGGAGTGAAGACCCTATGTTGGAAAAGAAGACTAGGGAGTGGAGACCCTATGTCTAAAATAACATCAACTAGGGAGTGGAGACCCTATGTTGAAAAAAAGACTAGGGAGTGGAGACCCTATGTCTAAAGATAAAATCAACAAGTGAGTGGAGACCCTATGTTAGAAAAGAGACTAGGGAGTAGAGACCCTATGTATAAAATAAAACCAACTAGGGAGTGAAGACCCTATGTTGGACAAGAGACTAGGGAGTGGAGACCTTATGTCTAAAAATAACTTCAAGTAGGGAGTGAAGACCCTATGTTAGAAAACGAGACTAGGGAGTGGAGACCCTATGTCTAAAATAATGTCAACTAGGGAGTTGACACTCTATGTTGGAAAAAAGACTAGGTAGTGAAGACCCTATGCCTAAAAATAACTTCAACTAGGGAGTGGAGACCCGATCTTGGAAAACGAGACTAGGTAGTGAAGACCCTATGTATAAAATAATGTCAACTAGGGAGTTGACACCTTATGTTGGAAACGATACTAGGGAGTGGAGACCTTATGTCTAAAAATAATTTCAACTAGGGAGTGGAGACCCTATATTGGAAAACGAGACTAGGGAGTGAGTCCCTATATCTAAAATAATGTCAACTAGGGAGTGGAGACCCTATGTTGAAAAAGAGACTAGAGAGTGGAGACCCTATGTCTAAAATAAAATCAACTAGAGAGTGGAGACCCTATGTTGGAAAATGAGACTAGGGAATGGAGACCATATGTCTAAAATAACGTCAACTAAGGAGTTAACACCCTATGTTGGAAAAGAGACTAGGGAGTGGAGACCCTATGTCTAAAATAAAATCAACTAGGGAATGGAGACTCTATATTGGAAAACGAGGCTAGGGAATGGAGACCCTATATTGGAAAACGAGACTAGGGAGTGGAGACCCTATGTCTAAAATAATGTCAACTAGGGAGTGGAGACCCTATGTTGGACAAGAGACTAGGGAGTGGAGACCTTATGTCTAAAAATAACTTCAAGTAGGGAGTGAAGACCCTATGTTGGAAAACGAGACTAGGGAGTGGAGACCCTATGTCTAAAATAATGTCAACTAGGGAGTGGAGACCATATGTTGGAAAAGAGACTAGGAAGTGGAGACCCTATGTCTAAAATAAAATCAACTAGGGAGTG